TCCAACATTTAATTAACTGTCACTTGTCAAAAAACAAATCAGCTATAAATTGTATTCTATGGCAATTAGCAACTTTTTGTTGTGCAGCAGTAGAAATTATAAGAAATTCTTCATTTGTCTTCAGATGATAACAGTTTTCAAAGAATGTGTAAGAATATTGTTCTGACCTGAAAACTGATTTTATTTGGAGAGAGTGAGTACAGAGCTGGCTTAATTAGCAAACATTTTGTTAACCCTCAGCTAATGGAATTCAGGCCTGAAGCACTGGATTCATACTGGAAAACCACTTGCAGTTGCACATACCTTCATTAAATCCAGGTTAATTCCACTAAGTTTATGCAACTTCTGAATAAACTTTGTGAACTGTATAGTCTTAAGCATGCAGTTTTTTAGATCCTTACCTTCTGTATTTCAAAGCTTAAACAAGATTTTATTTGTGTTTTCTAAAATTATTGACTTAGGGGAAAAAAGCTTAGATTAAGTCATTTATTAGTAAAAATCAGGAAGACTAGAACTAAACGTCTACCACATGAAGATCTCAAAGTGCTTTGTGGAAATATTAGCGTGCTTATTTTCAAATAGTGAGATTGCAAGAAATAAAGGTTCTGTGTCACTGAAGACAACAAGAGGTCATTGCAGAATCAAAGCTAGAATGTGGGTCTCTAGATTTTAAATTCCATGCATTAATAATTAGACCACAGGATATCTCCAGGATAGCTTGTAGGCCTTATATCTGCCTCCCTCCTGTATTATATAAGGAAAAATCCTACCCTATTGAAAGTGAATATTCTAGAAATGTTTCAAATTCCATTTAGTGAAGAGAGATTGAGAAGAAAATCCAAAGGAAAGTAATAGCTATTGAATGGTATTACACCTATATCCCAGAGCAACAAATCTTACTATTTTTCCTAATTTGAACCTCATTCATGAGAGTTTTGTTGTTAACCTGATCCAGATGACAGATCAAAGCATAGTTCCCTATTGCCACCTTGCTAAAATATTTTTTAAAAGACAGTTTTAATATTATAGTTTTACAGTTACAGATTGCTGTTAAGCTATTTAGTCTGTTACCAGTCAATCAAGGACTTTCATTTCACTTCAGTAGATCCTTACTTAAACTCAACAGAATTTTAGAAGGACAAGAAATATCTGTCAGTTTTTTACAGTGCTAGATCATAAATTCTTTGGTAAGTGGGTTAAAAATTCAGTTACACATACCATTCATGACCTTGACATCTTAGCAAACAGTGATATTGAATGATCAAAGACAACTGTTTCAAGCCCTAAGGGTTAATATACCTGTGCACCTAGATTTAAGCTGCTTTTAATTCCTCTATCATTCCTTTATTTCAAAATAGATGCAGTATTTGTTGAATGTAATCAATAAATTTAAAGAAAAAAAAAAATCTGAGGAAACTGTTTAGGCTAAAACTAATAAGGCTATACATGGTCTGTAGAAGATGCAGTTAATTAATTGTTGCTTTTTACAAGTTAACATTTTTTTCTTTCCTAGTATAAATCCAAATTAAAACCTGCTCCTTCTCAGGTGTGGGCTTGGTGTTCAGCAGGCATTTTCAAAAAGAACCATTGGTATGATAACTTCATTGTCAGAGCTGTGGCTATGTAAATTTTGAGAAACCCTGTTTTCTGGAAAACTGTATCAATAAGAATAGTTTTAGAGGAAAAAGTGAATAAAATTTTGAACTCTATGATGTGACTATTTCAGATACAGAGTAACTTGGGCAGAGTAACATATGATGCAAGTTAGATATGGCACAGTTTAAATGCATCTACAATGATCACTCTAATTTTCATGAATTGAACATTCCAAGACTGAGTTTCCCAAGAAAAGTCATATTGAATAATCTGTTGTGCTTTCAAAAGTAAAATGAGAAGAGGTCTTGGATGTTTTTGAATAGGAAATTTTCAAGTATGCTGAAGATGTTGCAGGAAATGATGGCACTGCCAAGTCAATAAGTAGTATTTTTCCCTTGCAGTCAGTACTGAAGCAGTGTCCTAATGTGTTGATATGGGACCCAGACCATGAGGATTTACTGTCTGATAAACCAACATCCTAAAATGTATACGCCTTTCTGTGTGTTTGTGTCTGTGCTTGTATGTAGCTGTAGGGGTGTGAAGCCCTGGGGTCCTGAACGAATTCCAATGTGGTTAATTAATTTTTTCCTCAAATAAAAATATACCTGGCATTTCAAAGCCTACTAAAGATTAAAAGAGTTAGCAAAGGAATCAAACAGAAGTAATATTACAGATTTTTATTTAGAAGGACCTGAAAAGAATTGTATTGTTCTTCTGAATGGCTCTACTTTTGTTCCTCCTCCAGAAATCCTTCTGTTCATCCTCCTCAAAAGTCCCGCTTTTAAAAGTTTGAAATCACCACCATTGTTCATACTTCTTAAGTCAAAGCTAGGCATACCTGGAAAATACAGTTCAGTGTGGAAGTATAGCACTCTGACAGTAGGCAAAGCAAAGACAATCAGAACCTCAAAATCATATGAAAAGCTAACAAATAAAAACAAAAATATTTTTTAAATAATGTTTTGCAAAATATTTAGCATCATTTCAAGAAATTAATGACAATCACAAGTCATGTAAAAGTTTGGATGGTTTGATGATCACTTGAGTGGAAAAGAAATTCTCATTTCACATTTCTTATATATTTTGCTTCCAGAACAGGCACACTAAAGGAAGCCTATTACAGCATTAACATTTCTTTGTGCACATTTTACTGCAATCTGGCATCCAAAAGGAAGAAACATTAGAAGTGGTTTATTTATATTTCAGCACCAAATTAGAAAGATGACATCATTCATTTACAGTTCTTATCCCATGACACGTCTAATCCCCAACACCTCATTACAGGGGACACTTTTAGGATTGCATATATCATCTTGTTTAACTTTTGCATTCTTTTATGGAATACAGTTGAAAGGTAGGAAATTTAAGGCTGTTCATTGATAAGAAAATAAACTAATAAATGTTAGGAGCTTCCCCAATGAGGCAGGATATTACAGTGTTTACAGTAAGTGGGTTATTATTTGTCTATTAATTCTCCATTTTTTCCACTCTTTTGTTCAAAAGGCCTTCCTCTTTGAATCTAAAGACAAATAGACCAACTATGATGATTCAGATTGAGTTGGTCTTTTGGCAAAATCGGTAGAAATTCATAGCTGAACTTCATACAGCTGTATGCTTCCGTCTTCTTATCTGGGAGAGAGAAAATGAAATTGTTCCAACTGTGCAGAAAACAGTATTAAAAATGTGAAATGATACCATATAGTGACAGTGTCAAATGAATATTTAGTTTGGTTTTTTTCCAGATCTCTTTTCTACTTTAGAAAAAAACATTAAAACTGGTGAATCTAATAGCAGTCTTTGAGTTTTTACATTTTCTATTAAAATATACTTACCAGTGAAATTATCCCAATGGAGATTTTGATATAGGATTGTTCTTATAGGAAAATCAATTTATAATAGTCCTGGAAGTAAATTTACCACATACTAGCTATGGGACACTAGCTATCTCATGGGCACTTTGAACTAGAAGCCAGTTAGACCTGTTAATATAGGAACATACCCAAACAAATGAGTTGTGTTTAAATTAATCTGTTTAAGTTGGTCCTTTAGAACTCATTAGTTTAGGCAAAGTCCTGGGGTAATGTGTTTAGCCAGCATCCTCACTGGAGTTAGCATGAATCCTGCTACCTTGGAGCATGGGAAGAACTAAACTGTGTGGCTTTTTGCAATTGATTTCAGTCTCTTATCTTTACTATTCACCAAAAGTGTCTATGTGCAAAGCAGACTTGTTTGTGCTTGACCAACTCAAATGGTGTCCACACAGGGAATTGGCACAAAGTAGATAAAGCTTCTTCAGGAACAACCTTTCTCCTATAGAGTTCAGGTGAGATTTTTGAAGATGACATCAAGTGTGTTAAGACTGCTATCTTTCCCTCAGTCATCTGCATGATATTAATTGTATATGTCTCTGATTCTTCTAATTTTGGAATAGGTCTTTGAGAGTTGACAGCGTTTTGTTCTGGGTTTTGTTAGTGCAAAAATAAATAAAACTTGATTAGAGGTTAACAAGTTTGCCTGAGACAGCCTTCAGTCGTACCAACAGAAAAAATCAGTACTGTATCTACTGGTATTGTGCAATTGGTAGTAAGGTTTTTTTGGTGTTATGAGCAAGGTTTGAATTATTCCAGTCTATGTATTTCATGGTATGGCACAATTGTAATAGTGATAAAGAGCGGCGATGTATCTTGTTATCTCATAGTGACATAGATTTTATTATCTGTACACAGCAGTAGCTGAAGTGTTGATCTTTTTTTTCAAGATCTATATCTAAGACTTACTTTAATTCACTAACATGTGTCAAGTTCCATAATCACTTATTTCTCTAAGTGCCTGTTTCTGTATCAGTTAGTTTGCAGATTCTTTTAACTTACTGTTTAGAGGGGTGATCCTTGTGTACAGTTAAAATAATTAAGCCAAATAGACCTTTTAATATAGCTATTCATGATTGTTGTTGACATGCCTCAGTAGCTAACTGTACGCATTTGAAGGACACTTAATATTCCTTTCAGTGAGATTTTACAAGTTAATTGGCAAGATATAATAACAGACTGGAAAAAATAGGAAACTGTTCTAAAATAGTAAATTTAGAAAAGCTGAATGTCTTTGTTGACACCCTTCAAACACAATGTCCTTGATCATATCCTCTTCTGACTTCATGCAATTCTACTCATGTGAAAACTGAGACAGAAGATGTGTATCCATGCTTTGTTCACTTTTTCTATTTCTGTTTCCTTTACTTTGTGAGCCAGCAGTCCGGACTTCTATTGTTAGATCCTTACAGCTACAAAAAAAAAAAAAAAAAAAAAAAAAAGAGAGCTTAGAAAGAGCTAAGATCTTCCTAAAACACGCTTAGAGTAATATATTCCAGCATGTAATAGAATTGTCTCATTTTACATCTTAAACAGACACAAAACAGAATGAAACTGATGGCAGATAACTACGATGATGACCATCACCACTACCACCACCATCACCACCACCACCATCATCGATCTCCTGGGAGGCCACAACACTCCAACCACAGACCCTCTCCAGATCAGGTTAGTCACCTCTTTTTTCGCCTTCAGTTTTATAATTTTACTATTTTGATATTTCAAGATAAAATAAACACTCCAAAGAAATAATAAGCAAGTGATGTGTTCTTTGAACTGAAACTAATAGTTCTGGTATTTATTTCCATCCCTGAAACAATTTAAACATTTTGGCCTTTTGTCTGGTGTCTTACATTTTTCTTCCCTATCTTTCTTTAGAAGTTTTGCAGCTATTTTCAGCATTTCATAACTCAACTTTTTCAGTAGAAAATCAGTGAAAATTTTTCCTGCTTAGTGATTACTAGTGATTTCAGAAGTATGCACTTTTTGTAATAATTTTTTTGTTTATTTAAAGTAAATGGATTAATCATTAGTATTGAAAAAACTGTGCAGCAGTTCCCTTTGGCAACTTGTAAACCAATGGTTCAAAACTGTTTTTGAAAGTATCTTTCTGTTGAAGCTTTCAAATAATAGATATAGCTTAAAATCAATAGTTATGCATTTTTAACTAGGCAAGAGAAACCAAATTCCTGAGATGTTTTAGTTTAAAAATGCTTAGTAATTCAGTACTGTTCTTCTTAGAATATTCTTCTTAGTGCCCTGTGTTTCAGAAAGGGCTAATAACTGTCCTAAGAACATGGTCTTCTAAAGTATGTTAAATGGGCATGCTAGCATTGAACCTTTTCTTCTCCACCTAGGGTGAAAAAACATCCATAAGCCCAATACTGTGTTGATTTTGTAAATTTCAATATTTGTTCAGAGAGAAATACTATTTTTTAAAAATTGTAAATATGTAACTAATTTGTTTTTATTCATAATATTTTAGAATATTAATGATATGAAAGTTAAGTGAAAATTAAAATACAAGTTTACTGTCACATAGTTTTAAATTAATATTTACACTGTATATATGTTTGGAATGAGGAGGTCGTGATGTTCTGTGGTTTATTAGCATTCCAACACTTTGTCTTTTGGAATACTTTAATGTGGTTTTTCAGATAATGTTGCTGTCAATAGGCAGAAATTTGCTAAGTGTCCAGCATGCATGCTCAGTACTTCTGGTTCCTAGATAATTGGGTGAAGCAGACATCTTGACCGAAAAGTTTATTGTTTTGATGTGCTTGAAACAGATGTTTCCAAACAGAAAATGCTGCGCCTTTTATTTCTGGAAAACTTAAAGACCAGATCCACCAAAAATAAAGTATCTGCTTTGATTTTATGGTTGTCATACTGAAAATAATGCTACAGTATTGCTATAGCTATAAGTACTAATGTTATAGTTATAGCTAGTTATCATTATAAAGTTATAGTATGGGAAATAATAAATTCTTTAACTAATAATGTAATTATATAAAATACACATTATATTTTTATATATACACACCAAAATAGTATTTCAAATTCTAATGACAACTTTATCTCGTCCTTAAAATACCCTTCTGCCAGTGAACATGTTTTCGTAATTGTTTTCTGAGGTGTCTGATACTGCTAAAAATTTGTTACGGTAAAAAATAGCGCGTGTGTGTGTACATGCATACATGTATGTGTATGTGTGTATGAAATGCTAAACCACAAGAAATGCAAATGAAAGAAGCTGAGCCACAGCAGATGAAATTTCAAGAAACAAACTTATATTTTGAAATTAAAACATATATGTAAGCCATGCTGCCAGCATGCCATTGTTTCCAGCTGATACTGGGTGCCACTAATTCCACTTTGAAAGAATGTGCTTAGTAAGTGGAGAGCTTGTCAGCTATGGATGGAGTCTGGCCTGAAGATGACTTTAAAATTTTAAAGGTAGACTTTTTTTCACTATATGACTCTCTAGCCTACTACAATGAGTGAGAGCTGAAAACTGTAGGAGTTTTAGGAGGAACTCAGTCATGGTAGGAAAAGGAGGAAAGTTATCCATATATGTATTTGTCTGGAGTAGGAAAAACAGTCCACATAACTCTTTTTCAGGTAGAGAACCCTGGGGAAAAAAAAAACCATTGCTTTTATACAAAGAATCACTCTTTGATACTAAATTAGTTTATAAGTTCATAATGTCTGTGTAGAAATAAAAGGGAAAAACATTGGTGAAAGTTACAACGGGGATGTATGATAGACTACTTAATCAGGATTGGGAGACAAAGAGGCAAATGATGCTTTTTTTAGAATGACCAATAGAGTTGTACTAAAGACAGGAACTGGTAAGTATGAGAAAACTCAATTTCTTGGATACCAACTAAGAAAAAAAAACCCAACAAAACCCCAAAACCTGAACAACAGAACACAGAATCCTTCAAGTTCCTGGAATTTGTTAAGAACAACTTTTTCTTTCAGAAAGTGGAGAAGGATATTAAAGACTTGTTGTCTTGGTTTTAGTTCTGTTTCTGATTAACAGAGATAAGTTGGCTGAGTTTACAAAAGAAGGCAAAATTGTCTGAAAACAACCACGAAATAAAAAAAAGGGTTTGGCTTTGTGCAAGGAATAGAATGAGAAAAACAGAATGAAGGCAAGAGATGTGAAAAAACAGGTAAGAACAACCTCTGTGTTACTGAAACCCAGACACTAGTTGCAACTAATTCAAGAAACCCAAACTTGTAAAGAAAATTTGAGGGACAAGACAATGTAACAGAGCTAACATTTAGTGAAGAAGGTGCTTTTCAATGCACAGTAACAGGTTATTCAGGGAAAAGAATGGTTAGGAAGCATAATGAAGGTCTGTGTCAAGACATATTCGAGAACTTATAAAACTTAATAAATTATATGAATGATGGAAGTCAGTATTAAAGATTAAAGATAGAGCACACAAAATACTAGCTATTTTACTAGTATTTACTAGTACTAGTATTCTCAGTTTTACTCTGAACTATTTATGATTATATTTGACAGCTCTCATGTAGGATATAGGAGATCCTTGGAGTCTTGAGGAAGGCAAACTCTGTTCTCATCTTTACAAATAAAATGTATGGGGATTTATGAATAATTATTTTAGACCCTGGAAATTGTGGACTAGATTATTAACCAGTGAATCAATAAAAAGCCTGTAGACTTTTTACTGTTCATTTTCAGTAGCTTGATATCTGTATCAGGCTGCATGATATCTATCTATCTATTATCTATCTATTTATCCATCTCAGTGTATATCAGATCACTTCATACTTGCTTTGCCCTTATCCTGTTTTCCTAATCATCAACTGGTGGTTCCTATCCTAGACCAGATAAACTATTTTTATGTTACATTCTTGAAGATACGAGGTTGTTTATCAATATGTACTCACTTTATTCTTGCAATCTTTCCTAGATGACAGTTTTGGGCCACTCTCTGAAACAGAATGCAGGTCTAGATGGCTGTTACATCGCATACCTATCCTATATTTAGTCTGCCTGTATTTGTCAAGGACAAATTATGTCAAGCAAATCTAATTTGCTTTGATAGGGTAACTGGCATTGTGGCTAAAGAAGAAAGTGTAGCTGTGACATACTTTGAATTTGTAAGGCCTTTAATGCTGTCCCACCATATATTTGTAATATACAAATAAATACATGAATTTGTAATGTAATTAACATGTAATGTAAAATGCATTGCAATAATAAAAGCTGTAACTATAAATAACACTATTTTAATTAATTATGAAATCACCATGAGATTGGTGTGCAACTGATACAAATAACATGCTACAGACAAATTTTCTCATTGTCAGACTGGAGGGACAGTTATCGCAGGGTCCTTTATCTGCTTCGGTAGAGTATTTGTTTAGAAATTATGTCAGTGATGAAATAGAAAAAAACATGAATATTGTTGATAATGAACCAAGCTGCAAGAAGCTGCAGGCATAGTAGGAGCAGTTAAACTGCTCAATAAACTGCTCCAGTCTCAGTAAACTGGAGAGAAAGTCTAGACTAAGTAATCTGAAATTCAGTAAAGACAAGTACATTTACAAGGGAGAAGTTGCAAGTACTGATGTGGCAATAGCATGGAAAAAGGAATCTGGATTGCACAATGGAATACCATTGCAATGAAGTTGCATCTTATTCTGGGATGGATGTAATACTGGAAAAGAAGCAGGAAGCAATTCTTCTGTTCTTTCGAGCACTGGTGAGACCTAATCTGAAAAGCTGTATACAGTTTTGATCACCATGCTTTAAGAAAGATAGACACATTAGAAAGGGGCAAAAGGAGAGCAACAAGAATGATAGGAGTTTTAGAGAACCTGACCTATGAGGAAGGCTTAAAGAACTGGGTTTGTTTAGTCTAGAAAGTACTAAAGGGGAGACATAAGTCTTCTCATACATAAAATGTTGTTATAAAGAAGACGATGATCAATGGTATTCCAGTGCCCAGTGGAGAAAGAGTAGCAGTGGTAAATTTAATTTTACCAAGAATAACTAGGTTAGTTATTAAGAAAAGGAAACTTTTTACTATGAGTCTAATGAATCTGTAAGTGGAAAGAAAGTGCGGACATTCTTTCATATACATGTAATGGAAGATCCTTTCTTGGAGATTTTTAAGAACAGGTTAGATGAATATCGGTGGCACATGATAGTAGCTTTATTTCATCTTGTGTTGGTGCATTGGGCTTGGAGTAGGTGTTCTGAAATACTGCCATCCCTAAATTTCCACAGGCTCCATGAACAATGGATTACCCCAGCAAATACTTACTTGCAAAGCAAGAAAATAGGAGATCCATAGCAAAATCCTTGCTGAAATAGTCTTTGAGAACGGCACAGTCAATGATAATCATGAGTGAACTCTAGTCATTGCTTTAGCTTACATTTCTCAATTACGGATTTTTTTTTTTTTTTTTTTTTACTTTCTGTGTTGTGTTAGTTACCTTTCCATACAGCATTCTTTTGTACAGCGATATGATTGCCATGTGCCCTACAACTTCTATTTCCCATTCAATAGTGTATTACACATAAATTATAGATATGTGTTTTTTGATGACCATAATCCAACATACTGCTAGTGGTTTGAAACCACAGAATAAACTGAGAAAATAATAAACTTGCAAATCATCAGAGGGCATTTTTAATTTTGTAAGGAGACAAGAAAGTGGTGCATATTGTAACATAAATGCCATCTAATTTAGTGAATACTAGGGAGGGTTTTTGAAAGTCTTCTCACAAATTCTGAAGAGAAAGAGATAGTTGAACATACAGTGTTAATCTTGAAATATTTCTAATTTCTATGGGTAATACTGGATTTTCTAATTTATATGCTACATTTATATAGAGAAATACATGTATGTTACATATATAACTGTGAAAGTATGTACATGTCCATTTGAGTACATGTTTATAACAAAGAGTAAGACATTTCCCACTTACTGATGTAAAACACTGTATATATGCTACTGTGAGTCTATACACCCTTTAAAGAGAATGGTGTACCACCAGTCTCTTGGAAGGAAAATGCACACACAGCCTGCTTGAAATAATGCATACTTTTTACATGGTGCTGTTCAGTTCCGGTATTGATGTTTTGGTTTAATGATCATGTTTTTGTTTTAACTGTTACTCAATATCATATCCCGCTATGGGCAGCATGTGGCAGCATGGTTCTAGATGTAGTAAAGGATAGAATCTCTGACTTCTCTTGAAGGAACTAGTTGGGCACTTTTTTCAGATGTAATGGATGTGTTTAGGTCTTCTGGCTGCTGCTGGAGAGCAAAGCCAAGTTTCCAGCCACTTCTTGCCTTTATTCCCTCTTTTTTTGCTCTTCTGTTTAGGGAGAGGTATAGGTTGGCAAACATTTTGCCCTTGTATGTCTGGACCTAAGCTCTGGGTAAGATGTAAGAAAACTTCACGAGCAGTAGGAAAACTCTGAGTCTCCTCTGCCCATACACATGGTCATGTTACAGTGA